TGTGCTCATCATAACGAATTGTAAAGGCAATGATAATGACACACAAAGTGCTACCAGTCAGTCTAGGCAGAATTTCTATTAGCATCTATCACTAACTTAGCTCTACTTCTGCATGAACGACAGGGGCCCCAGCCCTCTACTCTCCTTCTCCCAGTGTCTCAATGGTCTGGAAACCTCCCTGGGACTTTGAAACCATATCTTTATTAACCGTAGTTTGGGATTTTATACTGAGGAGATGTTACTCAGTGGGAATTCAGTGAATATCACATCTGTAGCCTTGTTATTTTATACTCTTCTAGAAAATGGAGGGTAAAAGGGTTCAAAGGCTTCTACATTGCATTTTGAATAGCCCAGCACCTTTGTTCTAAAAATAAATATATGACTTAAAAATAAATAATTAAGTGGGTTCAAACCAGAGGCTTACATTGCTTTTGAGGATATTCACATATGATCAGCTGTTGAAAGAGTTGCAGTTCAGCTGTGCTGAGCTAAGATTTAGTGACAGGGGCACCCAGGGATCAGACTCAAAGGCAGAACCTTAGCCTTTTCCTTAGTGAACAAGAATAGGGCATGGAGACATCAGACTAGATGACACAAAGAGATAATACACAGTACCGAAAGTCTTGAGTGCTTTCCAGCAGCGTGGAAGACAAGTATGGCCAACCTTTAGGCCAAGATTCAATGAAGAACATTAAAAACAATTGTAAGTTCATTCTTACTTGGCAAAGTACATCAGTTTATACTTATCTTTAACCTGTGATTATTGAAGATAATGAAATGTATGTGTGTGCACTTAAAATTAAGCAAGAACTTTATTGTTTTGCTGAAAGGAATCCATATTATGCTGGGAGAAAGTAGCCTGGCTTGCCATGGCCAAGGGAAGCTGTTTTTATATAAGCAGCGCGACAAGGTGAAAAAACAGGGGAAACTTTTTGAAGAAAATTTCCTCATCCTCACTTCCCACTCCATATCCTCCCACCTTCCTAAATTACCCTTTTTACATCTCAATTGATGGAAAGACAAAGAAACCACTGTAACAGTAGAGCTGCGGAGTGTAGCAAAAATTGCAAGGGACAAGACTGATAAAAGCAAGTCTGGTCCAGCTTGAATATATGAGGCAAAATAAGGAGAAGAAAGCTAAAAATGTATGTTGACAATGGAGGACAAAGAGTATTATAAGCATTGTTGCTGCAGTCTGTTAAAGCATTTGCAGCAGACAAAAGATAGAAGAAGGATTGTCACATAGAATAAATAGAAGAGAAAGGATAAAAAGATAGAGAAATTATTAAATTAGTTTTTTCATAATTATTTTAAACAGTGGAGCACATTCTCTAGCATTCTGAGATTTAGGCACTTGTACACATCTTTCTCATTGTTTTGAAGCTCAAGCATATGATTAAAAGTCTTTCCTAAATAAGGGTATTTTTCTGAAATCAGGCTGAAGACAGAAATGGAGAGCTCCTTGAACAGGAATCACATTTCCAGACATAGGTCCAGGTTCAACCATGTGTATGTGTGATACTATATTTGAAAACAGTGTATGCATGTATCGCAGAGGGAGTACTTAATGTGCTTGAAGTTGGCAGCATGCTTGAGCACCCTGTTAGATTGTGGTGAGAGAGAGAAGGTAAAAGCTGTAAAGGAGAAAGAAAATACTTGTGAAAGATTTAGGCATTTTTCCAGATTGTTGGTGCACTGTGGTGTGCTTACTATTAATGCTGTAACTTGTTATGTAGAACCTTCAGAGCAGAATTCTGCTCACATATCTGATATGACTTTGAAATTCAGACTTTGCCATTTCCAGGTCCAGGTAACATTTAAAAAGAATGACTGTTTTTAATGAGAAAGTATAGAATTATTTTTATTTCTTTTTTTGAGGAAAGGGAGATAGGGGATAGATGGGTAGTTTGACAGAAGGTAAGAAGCCCTACACTCTAGGTTTTTAAGGAACTAAAACCTAAGCTTTAGGAAAAAACCCTTACTTTTAAAAATAACTCATTAATAACTTATTCACTGTTTTAAAGAAATACAGTGAGAATATGTTTGGGTTTAGTAAATGAACGTCTTGAAAGGAGTAGCTATTTTGGAGACAAAAAATATTAATTTATGGAGGTCTTGCTGTAAGGATTAATTGCAATATTTTGACTATTGCCATGGTCCTATGGAAAATAATGGGAAATTGAGGAAAACATTAGAAGTATGCATTGGACTGTTTGTTTCCTAAGTTAACCCTATTTGAAAATGAAGAAACTCAGCTATATTTTTTTGTTTCTCTCTTTCCTTATATTTCTGTAAAGTCAATATCTGCAGAACCTTTTAGACACTATGTAGTTCCATCTTTTAAATTATTTTTCATTTTCATTTGTTTGTAGGCTTTATATCATTATTCAGTCAATTTCAATATATGACAAATCTCAAATAAAGAAGGTGCTCATGACTTTCTTGGTCTTATACTGCCATTTGGATGGTGTTCAACTTTAGCTGAATATTAAAACCTTAGGGGGATTATCCAAATTATATCTGTAGATCAGTTGTTTTCAACCTGTACTCTGCCATCTGGGAATCTCTGGATTATTCCTGA